TTTCCTTTCTTACCCTACCCTCCTCTCTCTCTCTCTCTCTCTCTCTCCGCAGGGAGAGCGACCCCTGTTTCAGATTAACGCGACGAAAACTTGTCTATCGCTCTCGCTCGGTGGATTGGGACCTCGATCGTTCGTTTTCCTTTCTTTCTTTTTTTCTCTCTCTCTTTCTTTTTCTTTCTCGAAGGGGAAAACGGAGGACACGGTGGGGATCGTTAACGCGCATCTTTCGTCGCTCGTCGTGGAACGGGATCGATAATGACAGGGAAACGGGGAGGTGAAATATTCACAGACATACCAAGATTCGTCATCGTAAGTTTTATTGGAAAAGTTCGTCGAGAATTATGCTCGACGATATCGTCTCGATGATGCCATCTTCCGTTACATTACAGAATTAACCATCCAACAATATTTTCCTATACCAATCTGATTGAAAGTGATTAAATTTTGGTGGATACTATTACCAGACACTCTGGCCCAATTATTAATTCCATGTTCCAATTCCTTATACATCGATCATATCATATTTTCCGATCTTTGTTCACCGGCTCGACATCTACGACGACATCCTTCAAGACACCCTCGAGAGAACCTCGATTCGATCCGAATCCGCGTCGCAAGGATATCGAAATTCGAGGATGGTTCCGTGACGAGCCGCAAGGTCGCGGCCAGAATATCGTTTTCCATTCGGTGTCGAGCCTTTCTAACGAGCAATCACAGGCGGGGCGAGAGGATTGAATTTTGCACGGGTATCGATCCGATTGTGCAACAAGTTTTCGTCAATCGAGGAGGAGGAATCGATCGGCAGCCTCCCCTCCACCCGTATCGATGAGAGAAAGCCCCGGATTTGCACGGAGAGGGGGGGGGGTATAAATCCGAGCTTAAACGACGCTCTCTCACCGCCATTTATAAAGCGGTCGTTCCGTCGCCTCCAAGTGGCTGGCTGCGCGTCGATTAATGGAATTCCTCGGCGACGTGGTGGAGGAGGCCGTTCGTGCGAATAAATTCACGAGAGGGTCGGTCTCCTCCTCGCCGCCGTTAACAGGGAAATTGATTCCTTCTGAAAAGAGGAGAACCCGAGCCAACCTGCACGTAGTAACACACTCGATACAGTTCCGTTTGTAAAAACGAGGCAATGAAACGTGTGAGGATGTGAGGAGAGTTTTGAATTTTCTCCCCATTGGTTGGGCTACGATCGAAATATTTTTTTTCGACGAGATACGTTTCGTAGATTTCAAGATCGGGAAAGAGAATTGGAAAGAGAAAGATCACGCTCCACTTGATCAAGATAATTAATTAATTAATTCTTCTTCCTTAATCTCGATCCAACAAATTCAATTCAATCGCACCATCCCTTAACGTCAAGTCCGTTCAACAAACTTTCGTAAGACTTCTTTCTTTCTTTTTTTTTTTTTTTGTTCAGGATTAGTCGATTCGATCCCACCAGCCCCTTTTTACGCTCATACTCGATGAGAACTTCCCCGCGAAGAAATCTCGTCGGCAAATAAGAAGAAGCGTGGTTGTAGTTGGTAAACACCTACTGGATCGAGGAAACTTCTGCTCAGGATTTGCGGTATAGACGGTAGGCTTAGACAGAGAGGGAGGGGGAGGCTATTTGTCGGCATAGGCACAATTGATCGGGATAGATTGTCCGGCAAACAAATCCCTGTTCAATCCACTTCTCGCGCAGGAGTTTCCAATGTTATTTATACGAACGCACGGAGAGGGGAGAGAAAAGAAAAATTTGGTTAAATTCAGGAATTTCGGACTTCGATTTCCTAGGAGGGCGTTGCGAGCGGAACAATTTTCTTCCAGTAGAGTCATCGATTCGCTCGAGACGAGAATTTCCTTTAATTTACGACGGATGGGCTGTTTCTTTAGACGGCAGAGTATCGAGTGTGAATTTCTTGAAATTCAAATTCGTTGGTTCGATCGAGTTTTCGCGAAAAAATTGAAACGCGAAAAGGGAGAGGCGGCGCTGCACGAGTGGAGCGGGGGAAGCGATTTTGCATTCGAGAGGAAGCAAGGGGGCGAGGGCGTGTCGGGTGAAATTGGAGAGAGATCGGCCGATTTGCATGGCTAATTAGCTACACACCTTTTAGCCAAGTTGCTGAAACTCTGATAATCCCTTCTCTACTCGAAGGCGATTTCTTTCCCAGATTATCACGCGGATTACTAATTGTTATCACCTCTCGGCTTAATTATCCATGCTCTGGTTATACTGCAACGGTAAGCCGATGATTATCTATAATATTATCTACAGCGTGCTTATAAAATTTCTTAACATTAACGAAGGCTGAGCAACCCCCAAAAATTGATTCTCGATTCGATTCAATCGGATATTCGTAATTTCCAAAAAAAATTTCTTTCGTAATAAAAATTTGCCAATCTCGTTACAAAAAGAAATACGAACTTAAAAGACGATTATCCACTTTTAAATTTCCACCAAACGACTTGATTAAATCTCTCGCATCGATATTGACTCGATCCCCGATATTGGAAAATAATAATCCTTGGATAAATTAAATAAATTCACGCGCGTGTAATTATTTACTCGGTCTGTTCGTATCATCATCGTCGATAATAAATCATCATGCGGCCCATCGTGTTCCACGAACAACATCGAAGAACCGTTTGGAAAGGGAAGCAGGCGGTCGCGAACGATGCTCGAGCATCAACGAGAAGATTTCGAGAGAGCATCTGGCAAAAAAAGAAAGAAAGGGGAAGCCAAATTTCTTGCTCTTCGCGCTCGTGGCAAAGGCGAGCCGACACCGACGAAGATGGCAAAGGGAGCGGAATTCCTCCCGCAATTAGCGGCGCCCTGCCGATAAAGTCAATTAACCAATCGAGTTAATGGAATACCCCGGTGACGATTGGCCCTCGTTTCGCATCGCTTTGCTCGTCTCGTGATAAAGAGCTGTACGTGACTCAAATTCTCCATCCTCGTCGCGTGGCCTCGCATCTCCGTTTCCGTGGAATTAAAACGTTCAAACCGCCAGCTCCACGCGCTTATCTCTCGCTTTAATAGACGGCTCGTGCAATAACGGAACGCGATGATGACGAAGATGGATAGGCAAGGAGGAACGATTAAAAGTCGAGAAACTGTTCGAGCAATTGCGGGCAGGGATCCCGTAAAATCGAGCATGATGCCGCGGAAAGTTAATTATTTTCGCCCGTAAAGTTCTCGGGGAAGAAAGGAGAAAGGGTTTTCCTTTCTTGGTTTTGTTTCTTTTTTTTTTTTTGGCGCGGAGAAGAATCTTAAAATGGACGTGGATAAGGATAATGGATAATGGACGAGTCTCGCTCGTTTTTTTTTTTTTAAATTTTGCGTGAAAAAAGTTAAATACGAAATATTGTAAATATTTATTGTAAATTTAAGGGAAATCTTTTCTCCAAGTTGAGGGAAGATTGGATAATTGGAGAAGAGAGGAAAATTTAAAAGTAATAAATCGTAATAAAAAAGGAAAAGAAAACACGGTATAATCAAAATATCCATAAATATCGTGAAACAACGATTATCGTGTAATAATTTACGATCTTTGGTTCTCAAAAATTAAAAAAGAAAAAAAAAACACAACAAAACAAAATAAAATCTTGCTGCTGCGGTGAAATCCGATATCCATTGAACGAAAAACAAGAGGTATCGTAAAAGGTTTCCTGTAATCTTCGTTTTATCGAGACTTTAATCGTCCTTAATAATCTCGTTATCATGCATAGATAAAAATCTCGTTATCTCATATATTCGACTCGCTTTCCTCGAAGACTTTTCATCTCCTTTTCTTTCAAATATTTCGAATTCATCCAGAATTCACGAGCAAACACCTTCTCTCCCCTCGTCTCTAAAAATTAATTCGATCGATCATCGACCTCGAATCCCCTTCGATACTCCATCACGAAAACTCTATCTCAATGCGATACACACCGTGTCAAAAATGCGTGTCCAACCAATCCGGCAAATTCGATTTAACCGAGATACAGATCCTAATGTAGAAACGAGTCTGCATAAGTCTGCCAGAGAACGGATCCAACTCGTCCCCCTTCCATTTCATTCAAAAT